TTAACTCAGGATTGATTAAAAAAATTTCCTATATTCATTTCAGCATAACCTAAATCTTGCAATACTTTAATCATCCCCATTTTACATAGGAAGGAACGCCTGCCAAGCAAGATTAATTTGCTTGTGTGACATCATGCAGACAAAAATTACTAGGTTTGGATTCTAACCCAGGTTGGTTAATTCATGACCTTTCTAAAAGTAGGAGAGAATAATGTTATCATCCTGCTTTGGAAAAATCGTATCCTCTGCTCTAATTTGTTTTTTTAATAATAATCACTGGCAACATTTACTTATTTACAATATATATTTCTGGTCCATCATGTTCCTTAGGGAGAGTCTATGTATACCCTTTCATTTTAGATATTTATGTGCAGAGTTGTTGATGTCTGTAAGGGACCCACAGCTTGTTGACTGCTATAGGAGACTGGTCCATGTTTCTCAACACTCAGTATGTGATTGGATGTCCACCGTGAACATCCACTCCTCTGAAATATCGTGGGATGCAGGCTCAAGGTTGCCTTATTCATCTCTATCTGTATATTCATTAGTTCTATAAGTTAAAAGCATATTATAAAACATTAGGCTTAAATGTACATGTATTCCTCAGGATCATTTTTTCCTCTTTTTTATTTTCCATTTGTTAATATGTTTTCCTTCCTTTATTTTTTAAAGTAAATTAAAAAATAAAATATTTATCTGTATAAAAAAGAAAAGAAAAATAAATAATAAAAATAATGGTATAAAATTTCAAAACAAGATTGTAAAAGAGTAACAATGGTTAGTACATTGGGTATTGTTATCTTCAAGGTAGTTGCTCAGATTACAAGATATAGGCATGAAAAACTGATCAAACAATGTAAGCATAAACCTTTCTTTTCAATAGACTAATAGCAATTAGTAGTACAGCTCTTCTTAATTATCTTGTGTGTGTGTATATATTTGCCTTTTCTCTTCCTTCTTTTCTCCTTCTCCCATTCCAGTTTTGCTTTCCTTTTGCACAGTTTCTTCCCATTTCACAATATCTACTGTACATTTTGGGCCTTATTTACTCTTTCAGTTTCTCACACCAGAGACACAAAGCGATGTTTACACAGGCAAGACTGGTTTATTTCTCTTATGAGTATGGACTCACGTTACAATTATTTCCCTAGAAAAGCCTCAGGTTTATCTTTCTTTATAGCTGAGTAGTACTCCACTGTATAAAAATAGCACATCTCTTTTATCCATTCCTCAGTTGATGGGCATTTGGGTTATTTCCAAGATTTAGCTTGCAAGGCCATTTTGACCTGTAGAAGCTTTCATTAGTAATGGTAATCCTGATATGAAATCTGCACTTTTCCTGCCAACTCGTACACAAGTGTATTGCTCAAGACCCACAGCCACTGTACCGCGGGCAAGTCACTGTGCTTGTTCAGGAAGGTCATCTGCAAGAGTAACAGTTGGTTGAATAACACTTGGCAATTCAGGCAAAGATATATTACACTTATAAGTTCCTTCTACGCAAGTGTCATGCTCCAGCCTGTGCTATGCAAATTCAATACAAGGTCACAAGTACATACATTATTCTTTTTATATTTCTAGAATGAATTCCGGCACTTGTATGTGGTGAGTACAAGGTTAATTTAGTTCAAAGGTAAGCCTTAACAAACATGTCAGAGCACACGCTTGAAGCCATAATTGATATTTATTACGAAGTTATGAATTAAAAGGCTTCATTTAGCTCCATGAAATTGCTATATTCTTCCCTAATGAAGAACATCAAACAAAATAAACAGAGGGGCAAAGCAGAAATAAAAGTTAGCTTTATATGCTGAATTTAAATCACTTAAAGCGGATGACTCTAAAAATTACCTAATTTTCTGTTACAAAGAGTCAGAATTGAAACTGATTAATTCTTTGAGGTTTTCCAAATGAATTAATTAGCATATTGATTTGGAATTGTTTTGGAAATCTATGTTCTGTGGGATGTTATGGGTTGAGTCTGGAATGTCTCTCAAAGCCCATGTGCTGAAGGTTCTGCCCCTGATGCCACACTGCTCGGAGGTGGCAGGTGACTGGGCCACAAGCACCCTAACCTTGTCAGTAGGGCCAACCATTAACGCGTTTGTGGCTCAACAGGTGATTAGGAGGGGATGGGAAGTAGAAGGTGAGGCCCTTTGGAGGACATAGGTCCTTACAAGCATGACTTTGAAGGCTATATTTTTGTCCCTGGTCATTTCTCTCCCTCCCCATCTCTTCTCCCATCCCTCTTTCTCTCTCTGTCTTTTCTTCCTGGATATCATGACGTGAACACTTTTGCTAACCCACAGGATCCTGGCCAAATGGAACCAAGAGACATGGACTGAAACCTCTGAAACCATGAGCAAAAATAAACCTTTCTTCACTGGAAGTGCTTCTTTAAGGTGTTTTCTCACAGTGACAGAAAGCCGAGTAACACACAGGTAGTATGCATTCTTTGGTTTTCTGTATTGCAGTAGATGAGTACATCATGGAGGTACAGACTTGTGCAGCTTGCTAAGGACTTCCACTCTCCTAACACTCTGTAGTGTGCTGTTATACTTTGATCTAGAATCTTCCCTCAAAAGGCTTATGTGTTTTGAAAAATGATTGGCTCATGCAGGTGCTGACTATATCAGCGGATTAACCCCTCATGAGTTCACTGCCTGAAGGAGCTGTTAGAAGTTTGGGTTTCATTGGAGGAAGCAGGTCACTGATGGGGATAGAAGGATGCATTTTTTCTCTGTTTGTCCTGCTTTTTCTCTGCTTCCTGGCTGCTGTGAGAAGAGCAGACTTCTTCCTCCATGCCCTGCTGCCATGATGACTCAGCGTAGGAGCCATCTGACCATGGACCGAAACCTCTGAAATTTTTCCTCTTTTAAATTGTTTGTATTAGATATTTTGTCCCAGTGATGGAAAACTAAGAGAAATATCACATGAGTATTTTGAAAATGAAAAAACAGTGATAATGAGAGAGAGAGAATAAGATATTATCTAATTTCCATTATCACCAAATATTGTTATCTTTGCACAAAGCACTCTGGCTTTAGTATAAAGAATATTTTCATGTTGAGATATTTGCTTATGTCTTTTCTTATAAGAGCTTAAAATGCTTTAATATCACATTAAATTCTTCAGCATCCATCATATAAACCATAAGTGATACAGAATGTGGCATCTAGAACACAATATTTATCTCATATATGAACAGTTATAAAGCTACATATATTGTTACTAAAATATTTGGCAACAAAGATCAAACATCTACCTAGAATGTACATAAGAACGTAACATGTGAAATTAATCTATGTTTTCCTTCCCTTGAGAAAATTGGGAAAAAATAATAAAGTGTCTCTGACACGCAACCAATGTCAAATAGCTGAAGCCTTACTCTCTCTTTCTGGGTAAATATTGAATTTCTCCAAGTATATTTGATCTACTTTTAAAATGTATTCAGGTAACTAATTTTCAGCCTAGACTTTGAGAAATTTATTTCAAACTTCAGCCAAGTTTGCTGTTTTAATTATGGAAAACTCTGTAGCTTGATAAACCCACTCTATAGCTCACTGCTGAAAGTCTTAGACAGCAGGAGTTTAAGAAAGTCTGGTCCAAAATGCAAATGGTACCATCTGTATCACCCCATCCATTCCAGAAGCAGTATGATTAAATTAATAGTAAGGTCTGTAAGATGAAAAGGCAGAGACCTCAATCATGTGGAAGTCGTTCAGCATCTGTTTAAATTCCAGCAAATAGAAATCACAGCCAGTTCAGTCATGGTTTCCTGGGTCTGTCCCTGCTCAAGAGTAGAGCTGTGTCCAATTTCCCTGACCAAAGGTATTAAGCACCAAAAAAGGAAAGGGAACAGTAAGAAGACATTAGCTCCCTAAGTACAAATATAAATAGGCTTCACTCTAGTGAGCTTCAGTGTCCTGATTGTGTAAGGCCTAGCTGACCAGTCTGGAGCCAATTCAAACATTAGAATTAAAGACTTAATATCTGAGAACAATTTCATCTCTTCACAGAAAGGAAGAACATGAAATATATTTTAAAATAACAACAGGGCACTGTAGTACAGAAACACATGGTAGTTTAACGTAGAATTAACTTAGAACTTCCACTAGTTGAAGCTTACTCTCTACAGCTGTGATATTCACCACAGGTAATTTTGCATTATTTCAAATTTTTCATGACAAATATTGAACTACGTTTAATTTTTATCCTAGGAAAAGTTTTTCATTTTCTCTCTGCATCACACAAAGAGGTTGATTCTGAGATTTTAATTTTCAACCCTGGCTTACCCAAGCAACTGACCATTGGGAAAACCTGGGCACGCTTCAGCATGTGTCCTTTTGGATGACATTGCTTCCTCTGAGTTCTTTAAAGTTTTATGACTACAGGGGTCACCCGCAGAAAGTGATGCTTGTCAGATCCGCAAGGCAGTGCTGGCCATTATTAAAATGCTTCTGCTGCAAGATTGCAGGACTGGATTCTGCCTAGTTGGAAGGGATATTAATCATCGGTTGTCACTGTCTATCCAGCCTGGAGGCCGTGCGCCAGCGCTGCGGGGGTTGTGACACGCCACAGTGCGGTAATATAATGACTCTGCACTCGATTCTGCACAAAGGTTATAAAGAAGTCCCAGGGCATAGAAATTTGGATTGGAAAAGCTGAACTGCGGCTTATTACAGTAACTTATTTTAAAAAAAGGGACCATTTGCATCATAAGTCAAAAATATATCCATGGTGCTATTTAGCAAGAAAAACTACCTGTAAATAAAGACCGTCACCCAGTTTGAAGTTATGTTGATTTCAGTTATTGAATATTATTCATATATTTATATCTGCATTTAACTGAGTAAAAGTCCTAAGAAAGTTTACTTAAATTTAAATAAATAATGTCAAAATCTCAAAAGAAATAGAAGCAATTTAACACTAACTTTTCTTCCCTGCATAAAAAACTTAGATTCTAATCAATAAAAATAAACATAAAGTTAAACATTTACTTTTAGTTTGTATTTTCCTTTCAGGCTTTTCCTGCTTTTCAGTCTTTTCTTTGTGTATCTCTAAGGAAAAATAAAATGTAGTATTTAAAATCTTTTTGCAAAACTATAAAATGTTAGCCATAACTATGTCCTATACTTTATAATTCTATCAAGTATAAAATTTTATATCTAACAACCGTGTTGATGTATAAAAGAAAAGAGTCTTCATAATATAGTTCTCCATAAAATTACTTATTTATTGAAATGAGGGAAAATTTGGAAACATCTGAAAATCAATTACTTGAAAAAGTTTAAAAATTTACATTGGCAGAGCCATGTTGTTACCATTTTCCATGCTAAAATTGATCCACAAATTATGATTATGTTTTATTTCAATTACTCCCGATGCAAATTAAGAGTTTTTAATAAGAATGTCATTTAGATGTATGAAGACTTAGTTTTTACATATTAAATTAAGAATTTGTGAAATGAACTGCAACCACTGTCTAATAGGAAATATATCTCAGCAGTATTGACTCAAAGCTGTGTTTATAATCAGCAGTTATTATTGCATTTAACCAATAATTGCTTCAAACAGATATGCCACATGCCATTAAATAAGTCAGTTGTACATTTTTTCCAGATATCAGGTTTTAACAAATACATTCAATTTTCTGCTAGCTTTAGAGCACATATCTTACCAAGTCTTAGAAAATGAAGTTAATTCTGAATTTACAGTTAATTTATGTAGAAGTGAATTTGAGATTAAAGTTTACAAGTATGATTACTACCTCTGAAAAGTGACTTACTCTTAAATATCATGGTTTTTCTTAGAAAAATGCTAATGAGGTTTACTTATTTATTTATCACAACTTTATTCCACAGATGGTCCAAGATGATACTAATCACGGTACGTATTTTAAAATCTCCATTCGTAAATTTGCATTTGCATTTTTGTAACTTCTCCAGAAGTCTACTAAATCAGGACCAATTATAGGAAAACCCTAAATAACTTCAAAACAGACAGAGGCTGACTTTTTCTTTCCTGCAAGGAGATAGCCAACACTGTGAAGACTTCCTTTCTTCAAGTGTTGTCATTAATTAGTCCTTTCACTATTAACATCGCCATTCCGTCACTCTCATCCCATCGCAGACTGAACGGGGCCAGAAAGAAGCAGATGAGGTAAGGTGCTCAGGCACAACTCTGAATAAATTCTCTAAGGTCCCAGTGAAGATCTCGGAAGGGCACGGACACTTCTGTCTTCCACCTCTCACACTACCTTGTTTATTACTCTCATTAATGTCCACAAATTCTACTCTGGAACAGTTTCTCGCACTGGTGCGGTGGTCCTTTTGGTTTAGATGAATCGCTGTTTGTGAGCAGGGTGCGCCTCCTCTGTGCATTCTAGGATATTCAGCAGCAATTCCTACTCCTGTGAGACATCAATAGTCCCTGTAATCACCCTTCAGGCACGGCAATATCTTCAAACTTTGCCAAGATCCCCTGCAGGACAAGATGAATCCTACACTTGAGAGTCACTTCTCTAAAACTGCAGAATAATCAGCCTAATAACCTGGTAACCCTTTGCCACTGTCTAGACCTATACCGTCGAATGGGTTGGTCATTGCACACTATGCATTCTAAGCACATGCTATGCTGTTATTCTAAATCGATGCGTACTATACATCCAAAGAACACATACGAGTATGAAGACTTAGTATTAAAAAGTATTAATTTATTATTAAAAATGAGTCATTAGTAAATCATAATTAATAACATTTGAAATCATATTATTTGGATATATTGATTGTGATGGTGCTATTCCTGGGTGAGCTTGGCTGAGCTAATATCCTTGGCTGTTCAAAGGAGCACCAATCTAGCAGTTACTTAAAGTACTCTGCAGGTCTAACAAAAATCCTCAGTTAATTTAAGTGAGAAAGGTAATTCTTGATAGTTGGGTAGATTTGTCTGATCTCCTGGGAAAACCTTAAAAATAAGCCTGTGTTTTCCCAGAACAAGAGAAGAAGTTCTTTCTGGGGCAGAAAGCTTTGGTCCCTGTCTTGGGTTTTGCCCATCATCTTCCCTCCCGGCTGGCATCCTACGGGTTCACACTTACTTGATGGTTTCCACAGACAGCAAACTCCCGGGGATAAAGACAGTTGGTTGCTTTGTTTTGTTTTGTTTTATTTTGTTTTGTTTTGTTTCTCTGGTACTAGAGATTGAACTCAAGGCCTTCCCATTGAACTATGTCCCAACCTATTTTTTATGGTTATTTTGAGACAGGGACTTGCTAAATTGTGAAACAGCACAGACTGGGCTCCAGATTGTGATTTTAGCATTAAAATAACTCTTCCTTATCTCCTCCCCTTGTAATTTTTCATTTGAACTTATGCTGACATACAAGATTAAAGATTATTAAAATTAATTTCATATTTTCTGTAAATATAAAATAAATTTTATATTTCTCTTTTAAATGCAGCTCCCTTAGAAGCAGGTATGTGCATGTGAGTACATGTGTGTATTCCACAGACACATGCTGGCCATTCAAAAGAACAAGGAAGGAATACCAGAAATCATATGAGAAGATCAGATGTGACTCAGATTCTTCCTCAGGATTTGGTGCTGGAAGCCACCTGCGTGAAGAACGCTGCCAGAGCCTCCTAAGCTAAGTTAGACTTGGCGGCACTTGGGCAGATAATGGCATGTGAGAAGTCTGTAGAGTCCCTGCTGGTCTGAACTCAAGTTCCCTGACAGACAGGTGGAAACTTGTGCTCAGAGAACAGATGGGGCATGAACTCATGCAGGCGCATGAACTCTAGTGGCTCTTCTACCTCTATACCCAGAGCTGCATCCCGTTAAAAGGAGTGGGGGCCAAACTGTAGCAGACATGAACTGAGTGGGGGTCCATTGTATAGGGAAAATAAAGAAGACACATCTCACACAGCCTGAGATCTAGAACACCGGTCAGGACTTCTCCCAGTCCCTGAGTGTTGTTCTCCATCCCAGACTTTTTTAGACAGCCTAGGTGCCACTCACTGGGTGAAGGGATAAAGAAAATGTGGTTTATATACGCTATGAATTATCATGCAGCTATAAAAAGAATGACGTCCTACCATTTTCAGCAAAAACTATGCATCTAGATGGCACTGTGTTAAATGAAATAAGCCAAGATCCAGAAAGAGAAGTACTACATATTCTCTATCATATGTGGAAACTAAAAGATGGCAACCTGAACAGTAGAATTGGCCTTACAGGAGATTGGGAAGGGTGGAGAGGAGAGGGAAAGAGGGATTGGATGTGAGCCATGCATGCTGTGTGCATGTGTGAAAATATCACAGTGAGTTCCATCAATATGTATTTAATCCGTGTTAATAAGTTTTTAAAAAGTTACTATGTGGATCAAGAGATTGAAGAGGGAAGAAAGATGCAATGGAAAAAGAAGTAAGGTGTATGTTGTACGTGTACCCACTCCATGCAGGGATGTCAACATTATGTGCTACAAATATGCTCCAAAAGAGACTCAATGGATGGGTGGGGGGCTGAAGGAGGGAAGGGAGAGGGGATTTATAAAAGGAGTTATGATCTGACATGTACATGTACCAACTCCCCTTAAGGAATGGAAACATTACGTATTACACACAGATACTAATAAAATACATAAATAAATTGATAAGTAAATAAATATTCATTCAAAGGGAAAGACAGGGATCAAATGCTTTCTCTGCATCTTTTTGAATTTGTGAAAGAGAATGTAAATACTTGTGGGTTGGTTGATATATTTCATGTTTTACCTAAGCAACAAATTAAAGAAAACCTGATGCAGAATCAAGCTGAAGAAAGGCAATATATTTCAGAGAATTTTATTTTGTGGTCTGTCAGACAGAACCCAGATTTGCAACCAGAGAATGCTCAAGAATCAAGTCTTGTTTTAGTTTTCTTGACTCTTCAGCCTTGTCTGAAGAAAGACCCACTAGTCTGGGTAGGTCCACCAGGTTTCATTCAGTTGAGAATCACAGACTTAGAAACTTGCCCGGTAAGATATGCTCAGCTTACAGCAAACACGAGTAGCGATGCCTTGTGTAAGCCGGATTGTTTGGTTTTGTTTCTATTTGCTTATTTATTGCAGGAACATGATCAATTAAATTTTTAGCTGAAAGTTCACTTTAGCTCTATCAATATTGCTAGAGAGACAGCGCTAGGTAAACACAGCTAAACTAGCAAAGGAACATTTACGTCTACATTTCTTTGCTTACAGAGGCAAAGAAATGTATGATTCAAACTTGAGAAATTAAATATGTCCCTGTGTGCTTTATTGCTGCATCACATTTTTTTCTGGGAATTCACTGGTGTCCCTGCCTATAGTTATCCTGTCCCAGAAGTGTCCAAAAGGGCTCTGCATAAGTGCCAATTGCATCTCCTCACATTACGCCAGGAAATGATGACCATTCTGCTCCTGCCCAGCCGGAAAACAGCATGTTACCAATTTAGACTTCAGAAAGATCTTTTTCTCCTGCACAGAGGATGCCCGATTTATTACTTTCAATTGCCCTTTCCAGTCAGGAACCTTTTGTATTTTTGATAAATTAAACTCAAAAGAGTAAAGTCACTAGAGAAAGAAATGTATTGCCTTATGGTTTTTAAAATACTTCAAAGAATAAAATTTCCCAGAGTACATGAACAGTAGCATAGTTAAGAATTTCCACAAATATCTCACATGCTTCTATATTGTGTAACATTAACAGTGATCTATAATGGTGTAAAGCTAAATTTAATATCATGACACTTTTTAAGGAACAGTTTATTTAGACCTGAACCAAATTTGAATACAAAAGGCAAAGAAGGTCAAGGCAGTCATTATTTACCTCCAGATACACGTGGTTTAGAATTAGGTGAAAGTCAAATTCCTTGGAAAAGGTGTTCAGTCTCAGCAGCAGATGCCAGTTGGAATCATAAACCATTTTTTAAACTGAACAACCTAAATCTAAAGACTTTGCGAATTAGAAAGTACAGAGGACAAAGTATTTCAGTACATGTGTGAAATTTCTTGTAAGTTTTTAGAGGATGAGTTTTTATTTCAATT